GGAAACGACAAAAAATCCGGTTCCATATTTTCTTTGAATGTTGGATTGGTTCTTTCTTCTAACGGGAAAGATTTGCTGCCATAGTTCATTGGATATTGATTGGCGTGGCCAATATTTATACCGTATCCTAAGAGTTTCATGGGGATTCCAAAAGTGTATACAGAATAAAACCTGTAACACCGCATTGTTTCCACTTTTCCTTCTACCACTTCACCGAATACCGATTAACCGACTTCTTTTGGCCGGCAACCTATTTAGCCGATGCACCATTTTTCCGATATCCATTTCACTGAACGGACGTTTTTACCGACAACGCCAATATAACGAAAATTTACTGTCACTTTAAATTTAAAGCGCGAAATGTTTAATAATGATATATAAAAAGTTATTAATCAGAACCAAACCTCTCTTCCTATTTCTTTTTATCATTATTTTTTTAACGAATATTCGGTAATATGGAGTTATTTGTGATGTGAAATAGCTTTCGGTGAAAAAGGTTGTCAGTGACTTGGAGGTGTCAATTAAAAGGTGTCGTCGGCTAAAGATAGTCTGTTAACGGTTTCGGTGAAAATGCTGTCGGTTAATCGTCATAAATTGCTAATTCAAATAAATAGTAAATTATTAAATGCGTGCGTAAAATCTTTATTAAAAAAATAAATCTATGAAAGTTATTTATTATTAAATTTGTTAATACTTGTGTTTTTTGCAATACATCCATCCAAAGGTAATTAATTTTCTTTCTCAATCTACATTTTTTTTTTATTTTAGCCTTAATATGTTTGGAATCACTAGAATCATGACATAACTTTTGAAATATGGGAGTTGCTAGGAAATGAGGCTCTGAGAATTTTTAATAAAATTTTATTTTTTTATTGCATTTTAATAAAATTTTATTAAAAAATTCTCAGAGCCCCATTTTCCTAGCAAACTTCCCATATGATAATTGAATTAACTAGAAAACCAATTTTTAATATATCAAGAAAAAAAGAGGATTATTTATTTATTTAGTCACGAAAAACTTTATTTGTAGTCATCGTAATAAATAAACTAGGAAATTGAAACGTTAACGCGTGTGAAGGTCCAGTTAAATGTCAAATTTTGGACAATCAAAAAAAAAAAAAAATGAAAATGAAAGTCTCAGCAATTATCTAACATTTCTCATTTTGTTATTATTATGATTTAAACGTTCTAATTTCTTTAGCTATAGTAATGGTTTCGTTTTGATCTTTTCTATATGAACCATCTACAAATACACTTTCAGTAAAAGAAAGAACGACATCTAACTTTTGATCATTGAAAAATGGGTTATAAATTATTAAACACCATGTACCAGGCGGCGATGTAAAAACTCTCCCGCAAGAATATGATACACCTATAAAAGAACCATTAGGGCCGATATCTCCACATAGTGATACGATAATATAATCCGTCCTATTAGTGGCCCTAGCGACAAACCCTTTTCCATATTTTCCATAAAAACTATTATTTAATTCAGGTTGATCATCAAATATGTATTTGCCGCCATAATTTATTGGATCTACTTGTGCGTAATTACTGGCTAACTTTATGGCATAACCTAAAAAGAAAAATTTTGTCAATTAAGTTGAGTGCGATAATGAAAGTGAAAATATTCAATGCCCACTCATAAATTCCGTCGACAATGTATTGCATTTATACCATGAGGCATATTTAGGGATCTTAACGGTATGGAAATCAAGCTTTGTTGGAGGAAGTTCTTGAGCAGAGACAAAAAGCGTCTAATATTATTTATGAAAAAATTGTTAAAAGGTTAAGTAAAAATAAGATGATGAAAAGATATTTTAAAATCAAATTTACCTGCAACAAGACGAGTACAATGATTATAAAAGTTTTCATTTTCATTATTATTTTTTATTATCTTTTTTTGTTTTCGTTGAAAGTTGATTTTTTCGTTAAGGGATTTTTATTTTATTTTATTTTTTGCGATTTTATGAAAAATCTGAAGGAAAAAAATAGTTCACAGATTTTGACCATTTTTATAATAAAATTTTATGAAAAAAAAAATATAGTTAATTCTCTTTCTAATGACAAATCAAATTACGATAAATATGCCAAAAAAAACTTTAATTGAAAAAAATTTTTTTTACAGAGATTAAAAATAAATTTAAAGATTATTTGGTAATATAATGAACATGATACCAGATTTGGTAAAATTGTTACGCTATGACGCGACGGACTGTTTTTTAAAAAAAATATAGCGCGTGATCGAATCCGATGTCCGACGTCATTGTTTTTTATTTGTCTGCTCCCCCTGCAGAGGCAAGCGTAAAAGATATTATCGAATTTGGTAATATCTACAATCAAATTAAACCATAAAAGTCAATAAAATAAAAAAGATTTTCTGAATGTGTATAAAAATATTCAAGCTTTATGTTCATAACAAAGTAACCTTTAAATCACGGAAATTCTTTATATATTTTATACTTTGTACTCGCATAGTACAATTATACAAAGGAAATGTATGATTGATGAGATTGATTGGCAATAAATTCCATAGAAATGTCACGGAATAAAAAAAAATATTTTTTTTTGACTTTAAATGTTTGATAAGAACTCTTGATACTCAATTATCGTCTCATTTATCGTATTTATAGTCAGTCATATTTCCATATTAAAGAAATGATTTTGACTAAAGAATTTATTTACTTGTATTCCTTTAACATCAACTAAAACGATGATGATTGAACGTATGGCATTACAAAAGAATAATCTTACATTTCTTCGTTCAGAACTAAAACTTTTCTGTGTAGAAATTTTCACGTAAAATATTAAAAAATTTAAAATTTATTAATGCGGCATCCTTATAAATGTTAATTACAAATTCGAAAATAATTTATTTTTAATAAAAAAATTGAATAAAATTTATATAATTAAAAAGTTAAATAATTTGATAAATTGCGCAATAGAATAAGCGATACCCATTGTAGTTATCTAAATAAAACATAAAAAGGTAAAAATTTGAAATCAAAAATAATATATGATGAATATATTAAAGAATTTTGATTTTGAAAATGCTAACCATAGGATTGACACCCGAAGCGGTTGGAAATACTGAGGCGTCAGCTACGTATAAATTATCGATTTGCCAAAGGATCCACCACCGAATTTAAAGGATGATCTCCCATTCGACTGTGACATCGAAAAAAAATTTATGTTGAATTTAATCATTCATGATTCAAACTTTTTTAAGGAATATAATTACCAAGTGCCAATTTGATGAGTGGTACCGATAAAAGTCCTATTCTCGGTCAAACCAATTTCTTCAACTTTTTCCAAATATTCCAAAAAAGTTTCATCTTCAACGTTACCCAATTCATTAACAACGAAATCTTCGATTCCGGCCTGAGCAGTTCCAACTCGTTTGGCACCAGCAGATACCAAAATCTTCAAAGACAAGATAATGCCTTGTAATAAGCTATGTTTATCATGTTCACTAAAATATAATTCAACCTAGGATTACCCTCGTTATCAATAAAGATATTACCGCCATCCCTATCCCTTGTAACGAATATTAAGGTTGACAAATTGTTGATCCCTAGCAATAATTGTTTATGATGCAGAGATCCTTTCCAGGGACACGCGCCCGCGATATGAGACGGATGTAATACGGAGTTTCAATTCTAACTCCATAGCCTTTGCCATTGATATTTTCTTTCTCCGAACATATGCTTGTCCCATCATAACCTTTAACCTCTCGATCTGGAAATATACCATAAGTTTCACATGCTGGATGTATATGTAAATGTTTTCCTAAATTTTGATTGGTGATGCCACTTCTTAATAATATTGCAGGCGAATGAATCGATCCAGCTGATACTACGACAATTTTTGCCGAAACCATTAATCTCTTATCTCCTGATACTAGGGCTTCGACTCCATTCGCTTTGCCATTTTTGATTAATATCTTCTCAACGAAACAATCTTGTATAAATTTCGCTCCTGAATCCCTTGCATCTTGTAAAAATGTCATCAATGTCGATTGTTTCTCTCCGTATTTGCATTTGGGTTTAGGAGAAGAAACAAGAATGAACGAGTGCTTTAAAGTAAAGAGAAATAAAAAAAACCCAACCACTCACATCCATAGCCACACCAACCACAAGAATGCGCGTGTCCTCCAGAGTTTTGTGCCACTATATCATTATGAATTCCAAGATTTTTACAACCATCGATAAGAATCTTATTCTGTTCATTATGAGTTACTTGAGATGCGGAAACTCCCATCCTTCCTTCAACATAATCTAATGCATCATTAAATTCATCACTTAGAAAGTAATCTAATCCTGGTTTGGCCCATTCTTTTCTAACGAAATCTTGCGGTCTAACAGAAGCAGACCAATTTACCACGGTACCACCACCAAAAGTTGATCCTGACAGAACAGCAATACTATCATCTTCTGATATCATAACTCCTTTTCTCTCATAAAGATTTTTTAATCCATCGTTGGCTCTCATGGTTAACTCACTTTGATGATAATATTTTCCTTTCTCCAATATCAACACACTGTTCCCGGCTTTGGCTAATTCAGCCGCTATGACACCTCCACCTGCTCCGCTACCGATGACGATCACATCAAATTCCAACTCACATCCTTCGGCTGGTATTTCTATGAAATCATAAATTGGAAATGATTTTGATGTAAACTTTTCTGAATTGATTTCGGGATCGGTGACAGGATATCCAATTGTATTGGTAATTTCCGTTGGTGGATTTAACCAAAATGATCCTGTAATCAACAACGCAAAGTTATGATATAATCTTCTAAAAAGACTTGATGAAATGGCCCATGTTTGTATAACCTTTTCTCTCTGCTTCCTGGTTAATTCGTAAAATGGTTTAAAGTGTCCCGTTAATAAGTACGCTGAAAGGCGAATCGAAAGTAATTTTAATATGAATCGAATCTTTGATAATTTATCCTCTGTCGTAAAGTTTATTAAACTTTCCATAAAATATTCTAAAAATTCCGGATATGATGATGATAAGTCAAATTTAGCAAAAGATTTAATTGAGGAAAGATTTTCTTTATTGTTCACTGAACACGAAGTTGAAATTAATTCTCGGGTTTCATCATCATCTAATTCGGCTATAAATGTTGAAAAGAACGCTTTCAACACTTTAATTTGATCCTCATTAAAATAATCTTCTTCACTCATTGTTTTACCAAATTGTATGAATTAGATGGGTTCTTTCTAGATGTTGAGGAAAAAAAGTTAATATTTATATTGTATATATATATATATATTCCCAACATGTATTGACGCAGCATCGGGATTTCGGATTTGAAATTAAAATTATCTCATGAAGTTAGCGTGAGATTTGATGTAAATCTCAGAATCTTGTTATTAACCTGAAATTGCGATAATTTTGAAATGAAGTTTGAATAAATAATTGGCGAGAGAACATTTTATTTTTTTTAAAAAAAAAAAAAATAAGCAAGATAAATGTGACATACAATGCTGATTGACTATTTAAATGTTCGATATTAAACGTTAGCCTTCATGGAAATTACTATATAAGGAACGTTTTCAATACGTTCTGATTATCTCAAATATTACTTTTTGACTTACAATAATAAGTTTAGCCCCCGTTATCTTTTTACCTGCACGGAAACTATCATTTTCTAAGGGTGCAAGGATGAAGCATGTCAAATTTGAAATCTATATGAATTTGAAAACATCATTTATTGAAGGTAAAATCATTTATAAATCTTTAATTTTAAGGCAAAGGAGGAATTAAAGCCAATGAGTGATATACATCTGATATGTTATTTTTATACATTTGTATTAGTAAAAATGAGCTAACCTTGTTTAGAAAATAGACCAACATCCCGAACAATGGTTCCGTCTAAAAAAAAAATTCCTTGCCAAATTTAAACAAATTCAATTTTAAAATAAAAAAAATATTAATAAGTAACCTCGACCAAAAGCAATTTTTTCATCGGTGGTAAGCTAATATATGTGAGGTTAGGTCATTACAAATGAAAATTAATATTTGATTGAGGGAAGGGAATTTCATCTTCGAAGCCCCATAAAAATCACATGATGAAAATTCCAGGTCAGGAAAATATTTTCAATTCTATCTTTTGAGATCTTTTGGTCAACAAAAAAATGGACACGTAATATACATTTTGACAGCGATTGAAAGCATAACCGAGTTAAAAAATAAGCCCGGTTGTGATGGTTAAGCCAGCGCAATACATTTTTTCAAAATTATTATTTTTATGCATTTTCTAATGTCACTTCTACCATTGCAATTGTTAACGGTCACCGTTATTATTATTATTATAAAATGTTAATGGATTTTCATTTCGAGGCTTCAAGAATATAAGTCTTCTCTTCTGATGAACGTATGTAAATTGATCCAGTACATCATTCCAACCTAAGCAAAATCCACCTGGTCCGTTTCCACACCCGAAGCGTGATCTGGACCTCATCCCCAATAGATACTGCATATGGTAAAAAGCTAAAGTCAGTTTAGCAGGGGCTCCACATGGATGCCATCCAGTTTTTCCATAGATAAATATAGTTTCCGAAGCATATCAAGATCGGATTTATTGATTTTTATTGCACTATTGTTAGCAAGGCACTCTAGAGTGATTGGCACAAACACGTGGTTGAAATGGTTTCATAATAATCACAGGAGTAAATATTCAGTATGGATGACTTATGAAGATTATGTGTTTTATCTTCCTTTTTATCATGTGAAAAATATGTGGACACGTGACATAATATTAAATATGGACGCAGCAATTGATGTTCTACAAATAGTTAGTTGTTCAATAGTAATAATAATAAAAAAAAACGTAATAATGATATAATATTACCACGCTACTTTTTCATTAATCAAGGATTTTTCTGCCTCAATGAATATTTGTCAGGTTTTTCAAGTTTATTGAAGCAAAATTACATAATTTGAATGAAAACATTTAAAAAGGGAAATTCTAAAAAAAAAAAAAAAAAAAAAAAAAAAAAAAAAAAATTTTTTTTAAAAAAAAAAAAAAAAAAAAAAAAAAAAAAAAAAAAAAAAAAAAAAAAAAAAAAAAAAAAAAAAAAAAAAAAA